GAGTTTAATTTAAAGTCGCAGCGCAGTGGTATGAAACTGAGACTGTGTTAAGTTAAAGAAAACATGTATACATATATACTTACGTACCCACATACATACTTACTTACATGTACATTCATTCGTACATACACACATACATACATACATACTCACACATACATGCATAAATACCCCACAATTAGGGATATTTTCAAGCTATTGTCCAACTAAACACATTTTTACCTATTTTAAAATAATAATTGATGTATTGCCGAAATCCAGCATTAATAAATTCATTAATTTGCATAACAAATACAAAATCTGGAAAAAAATTTTGGTCGAAATTCATATAATTTCAGAATTTCCCGCCCCATAACTCGGTCAAATCTCAACCGATTTTAACGAGGTTTGGCTTTTTGTTCATGGTTTTGTCTCTATATCAATTGGGCATCTAAATCTGGCAACCTTATTTTTGGTCGAAATTCATGTAAACATGTTACCCTCAAATGTACTATATAGAGATAGTTAAAACTTGCCACCCCCATAACTCGTTCAAATCTCATCAGATTTTAATTAGGATTGGCTTTTTTTTAATGGTTTGGCCTCTCAATCAATTGGGCATCTAAAGCTGGCAACATTATTTTTGGTCGAAATTCATGTAAAAATGGTACCCTCAAATATCCTATGTAGACATAGCTCAAAATTCCCACCCCCATAACTCGGTCAAATCTCATCCGATTTTAACGAGGTTTGGCTCTTTGCTCATGGTTTGGCCTCTAAATCCATCGGGCATCTAAATCTGACAACATTATTTTTGGTCGTAATTCATGTAAAAATGTTACCCCCAAATATCCTTCATAGACATAGGTCCAAATTTCCCACACTTATAAATCGGTCAAATATCATCCGGCAAGAAATTGGTTCAATTAATTCGATTCGATTAATCTTCAGCTTACAGCTGAATAGCTTAACGTTATTCGGTTTACCCGTGGGTGGTCCGTACCGCTGGCCCTGCCTGGCGAGAGATGCCCTTGCCGTGGGCCATGCGCCACCGTTCAGCTGTGAAGCGGATGAGAGCGTTCATTAGTTATTGATTGACAGCAATGCGGAACCAGAGATTAACGCTTTCCTCAGCTCGAATGTGCCGCCAAAGGTATGGGCAATGCGCCCGGAGCAACAACGCCCCATTTGCGAGTTCGATTTTCAGTTCTATAATTTTTGCATACCGTCAGCAATTAAGGCTAATTCGACATTGCGCATTCGGACTTTGGCCGGCCTGCTGCCGAAATACATATACCGAAAATCAAATAATCATTAATCACAATTTCTGGCTTGGCTCCAGCCAAGCAAACTATTTGTCGCACAGTGCGCATCGCGGCCAGAAACAAAGCAATTAGCTAATGAACACTTATCGCAGCTCGGCACACACGCGACCCGAAGCTGTCGGCACTTGGCGCTGCCCGCCCCAAAAGCACCAAAAAGGCGCTTGACCCGGAAGTGGACCGCTGCCTGCACTAACGGCGCAGCTCCATTTCCAATTCGAATGGAGCATTAACTACGAAGATTTATGCTGAGCCACAACAATAGCACCTGACAAGCTGGCCATAAGCCAGCACAGTTTATATACCCTTGACGAGCTGTGCGATAATTGTTCGCGATGCTATATCATTTGTTATGTAAAATCTGTTGCGAGATCGTCACTTAATTCATATGCGAGCTTTGAGTAGCGCTGAGCTAGAATAAGCATCAAGGTGGGAGCACGAATTTCCAATTTATATTTTATTAAGAACCATATTGTCAGCCGAACCAGTCTCCCAATAAAAGAGTCTATTTGAAATTCGAATCGAACCATATTTAAAAAAAAAGCTAAATTATATTGAGTTACAAAAATAACTTAAGCCCCAAGCATTAAACTTATCGAACCATACTCGATAAATGTCAATTTTGGGTTGAAATAAAATTTAGCCGGCAATTTCTATATGAAAATATTTATGTATTGCAATATTTTCAGTAGAACGGGCAGCTATAAATGTAAAAATTTAATTGTTTTATTAAAGTTGTAAAAAGTAAATAACATACCAAAAGTTGTATAAAAACCTGACTTTATTTTGCAATCCTGCCTTTTGGGTACTTCCAGCTCTTTCTCCACCTGAAATAGAGAGAAGAAAAGCGCATTTAATTAAAGAAAAAATACTTTTTCTACAGGGTATCTCCTAGATGGGCACACTCTGAAGCACTCTCGTTTTATACATTTTTCCCATAGGGTTCAAACATATTTATCCAATGCTATTTGTGCTGATCTTTTCTATTTCTAGCTGCGTTTTTTCTGTTGCTTTATTAATCGCCGCCAAATGATGCTGGCAATTTTTATACATAAAACAATATTATTGTACTCTTTGTTGTTAATGATATTGTCAGTGGCATATCGATGCCAGCATCAGGTGTAGTTTTCTTCTTCTTCTATTGATTCTGGTTCCTCGATCTTGACTTTTTGTTCGAGTACGCAATGTGCCTTGTGTGTGGGTTGTTCTTTGTCTTTAATAGATAATACCAGATAATTAAATAACATTACAGCGTAATTTTTGATACAGTTTTTGGTCTCCGACTTCCGCATGTCTATAAAACCAGATCACCGGAGCGGATCGCTGTACGTTTTCTTTGAATCCACCTCAAAGGGATCGCAGTTAAATTGATTCTCTCTAAGCGATTGCTTCATTACAAGTTTCGGGTTGTTCAATTAAAGTTAATGCACAGATTTATTTGCAAAACAAACATTGAATTTCATTAACTCGATTTGCTCATGCGTCTGCTTCTTCTTATTCAATGTGCCATTAGCTTATTTTTAGAAATCAAATAAAGAGACCAGCACATTGTATTCGGCTATTTTTAGAATAATTCTCCACACCGAATTAAGACTTCTATTTATAAATGTAAAGGCATAATGGCTGTCAATTAGCCAAGCTCCGAGTTAAACTTAAAACTTCCGCAACTGTGGGAAGTCGAAAATAAAAATAGTACTCAAAATATAGTTGGAAGTTTAATTACAATGGAAACAAAAAAAAAGCCAGAGCTCCGTTTAGAACTCGACTCGACGTAGCCTTTAAAATGGGCATAAAATGTTTGGGTCAAGTGTGCACACGATTTTGTTGTTTATGTTTAACGACAGTCCATTAATTCTGTAAACGCTTAAGTGTATTAATTAAATTTATTACGCAAACTATGCATTTAATGCCACTTGGCTGCCAAACAATTAATCAAATCGTGTATCGATTCCAGGCGACAAAATCGCTTACCTTGCTGGGAACTAAGTCAAACGCTTTAGCCGGAGAGCTTTTGAATAAGTTTGAAAGAACAGAAGACTTAGTCGGCCTTCACGGCGACGATCGCTGAGGAGGATTCAACCTGCTGACCTTTCAGATGGACCTCTGTAGATTTATCTAGGAACTATATTTTCTACATCAAATTAATTTAAGTAAAATAGTTTTGGCTTATATGAAAAGAAAAAAATAAAGATAATTTAATTTGAAAAAATTAATTAAATTAAAGCTAAAAGTTCTTGGCAAACGCAACAGCCCGAGGCGTTTCCCTGACTAAGCTTACAGCTATATTGTCAGGTTGACAAGTTGGTCAATGGGTTATTATGATAATGAACTCAAATTACGGCACAAAAGCCGCAGCCAGAGCCGGACGACCGCCAGCCGCTGTTGTAATTTGCTTGGCCTTGGGCCGTCGTCGTCGTCGTCGTCGTCGTCGTCGTCGTCGTCGTCGCCGTCACCGCCGCTTGGCAGATTTCTCAGCAAGAGAAACTCCGTTTCGGTTTCTATTTCGGTTTCTATTTAGAGTATATTCTGCTTTACACAATGCCAACGTAGAAGAAGCAGAAGAAGAAGCAGAAGAAGAAGCAGGCAAAAGCCGCAGCTGGCCAGGGCCGGAGGTCAGTCGGCTTTGATCGGGCCAAGCAAATCAAGTTTTCAAAGCCCAGCCGGGCAGCAGGGCATTAATCCGGCAAAGCCCAATTACAGCTAAATAACAAAAGCAAAAATTTAATGATAAAATAAGAATTGCTCAGTTGTTAATTGAGTGGGATCCTCCTTTCTCGTATGAGTAACCGGGCAGCCAGTTGATTTATAAACAAGCACATTTTCACTTATGAACGTGTGCGGTCCGAAATGAATTCGTTTCTAAATTGTACTTCAAAGTTGCGCCGACGGGTTCAAGTACAAGCCCAATGACTGAAGGCGAAACTGACTGCAAAAGTTGAAATTCCTTAAAGCAATTACGCGCGATAAGTAAATGAGATTATGCTGCTTCAATGGCCAATTGTTAATAGGTAATACAATTTGGCAGAGTTTGCGAATTCCCTGCACACACTTGAAATAGCGAATATGCCATGTTTGGGAGACAGAGCAAATGGCTACTGTAGAGTGCTGGCCCGCACTTGTTTATTGATTTCGCTTGCCAGAAATCAATCAACAAATTGTTGCTGGGTATTAGGCACGAGCATTGTCATATGACCTTCATTAAAATCAAAGTTGTTTTTTTTTTTGCGAACTTGAGCCAGTCGGACGTAATTACTGTCAAGCGGAATCGGATACTGCCATTCCATGCCAAAAATGCAAATGGAGACCGAGGAACTACCTCGAAAAGTCCAACGACTCTCGTGCCAAGTGCCAAATGTGGCGACAATTAGGCTTAACGAGTGGCTGAGCAGCTGGCCCAGAGATAAGCTTCTGCATTTACTGGCACGTTTATGCTTGTATTGAAATGGTAACAAAAATTGCGACTGCCCCGCGGCGCTGGCATAACAAATGCGTTAATTTGAAGTAAACGCAAATCAGGGGCAGCATTAGCCAGTTTTATATTGTTGTCGTTATTTTCAAAACCAGCTAGGCAACAAATATCGATAAGTGCTGGCCACCGATAAGCGAGAGCTGCTGTGCTGAGCCAGAACGCGCATCGATAGGCGAACAGTTCATTTATATCGACTACGCAGCCCTGGCCGTTGGTTAACAGTGTGGCCAGGCAACAGCACATTTATTATTACTTGAGAGCAACGTGCTACTCCGATTTTAAGCGTTTAAAAAATAGGACAAAATGAGCGGCAATGCAAAAAAGGAGCTAATCCTTTGCGACTATTGCCAAATCGCAAAAGATGGCAATCAGATTTACACAAACAGAAAGCAGTTTGCTGGCTGCAGAATCGTTGACATTCTACAAAGTGTCACCCAACGCACCGTAAGTACAGTCTTACAAATGGAAATTATTCATATTCCATGTGACCCACAACAGCAATTCTAAATATTTAGATACCTCTGCCAACGACCGTTAAATTGTGCAGCCTGTGCGCCTCAACGTTGCATGCCACAACAGGCACCATCGCCAGAGCCATCGATTTGGTGTCCAAACTGACGCAGACTGGAAAGAAGCAGAACATTGAAACTGTCCTTGTTGAAACCGAGTCAGATGACGCAGTCGAGGCAAAGCAGGCAAAGCCTGCCACAAACATTGATTCACCGGCAACTAAAGAGCGCAAGCCAAAGGGCGCGGCAACTACCAACGGCACGCCCATTGGTAACCTGGACAGCCCTAAAGTGACGTCTGCTAAGGCTAAGCCAGCCGAAAAAAAAAGCACGCCAAACAAGAACGGACTCAAAGAACTAAACACTTCGGCAGTGGGCGTCCAGCAGAGTCCTAGAAAACAGGCCCTCAAAGCAAGTCTGCCACAAACTAGCACCCCGGTGGCATCAGCACAATTGTCCACTCCAAAGAAGGTAGAGGACTTGCTGCAGAATGCAATAAAGTTGACGCCTGCCAAGGATGTGCCCAAAAAGAACAAAGATTTTATTCAGCTTTTTGGTGCCAACGCTGACAATGCCAGCGACACCGAGGAGGAGGATGAAGAAGATGACGAGGTAACGACAGTCGGGAAGGTAGAAGTTAAGAATATAGCAACCGGCTTCGAGTGCAAGCTATGCGACTTTGCATCCGTCTACCCGAATCCCATGAAGAAACATTTGAAAACATTGCACGGACAGAAGCGTCCGCGCATCTACAACTGCATGAAGTGCACCAAAGCCTTTGGTGTGCTGAACTCCTTAAAGGTGCATCTGCTGACACACGGCATTACCGAGAAGAAGGATGAGGGTGCCACACCAGACCCACAGCTAGCAGTGCTCACGGCACTGAAGCCAAAGCCGAAACCTTCCAATACGGAATATACCTTTGCCATTAATAACACCAACTCGTCCACACCAAAGCCCGCCGGGGAGCAAGTGCAAGCTACCACATACCAGTGCGAGATATGCCACCAAGATTTGAACACGGTCAAAACTCTACAGGAGCACATAAAGACTGTGCATAACATTGAGCGTCCCAAGGCATTTAAATGCGATGCCTGCGATTCTCATTTCATGCACAAAGTCACAATGGATCGCCACTACAAGAAGAAGCACTGCGGTGATGATTCCACCAACGCTGCGATGCCGGCTAAAATTAAAGGTAGACGCAAAACCATCTCGATTGTGGTTAACCAGCCGCCCAGCAAGGAAGAGGCCATGCCACTGGCCAGCTCGCCAGTAAAGATTACAGGCAGACGCAAGACTACGGCAGTCGAGCTGAGTGGACTAGAGGAGCCGCCAGCCAAGTTGAAAAGGCAATCACCACGAAAAGAGCCAAAGAAATTAATCGATATAGACACTGAGGCAACCCATAAGGAACCCATTGAAGAGCCAGCCTCACCGAGCAAGAGCAAAACAAAAGTGGAGTTGTCTGAGAGTGCAACTGTTGACAACGTCACGAATGAATCAAAAGTGGAAAAGTTGTCTGAGAGCGCAACTGTTGACAAAGTCGCAGGCACGCCCAAAAAGCCTAAGAAGCCATCACAAGTGCTCAAAGATTTCTTTGCGCCGAAGCTGGCCTCGCCAGCCAAGAGCAAATCGAAAGCTAACGACGAACAGGTCGGGCCCACACTCAGCCAGGAGAACGAGCTCATAGAGGAGCTGAATAATATAGATCTGAATGATATAGATCTGCTGGATTCATTTGACGTCGACACGTCCAGCAAAAAAATTAAGTCCAAGAAAGATGTAGATACGCCACAGTCATCAGAAGTCATAGAAATCGACTCGCCAAGCAAAAAGGTCAAGTCCACGAACGAAGAAGATCCGCTAGAGAATTTACAGATCAACACGTCAAGCAAGAAAATTAAGTCCAAAAAAGATATAGACACGCTAAATTCATCACAAATTATAGACAACAAAGAAGAGAAACTTACGAATGAAGTAGATCCGCTAGACTCATCACAGAACATATCCATCAATGGCACGCCAAAGAAGTCGGGCAAACGCAAGGCCGCCAAACAGCTGGCGGAGGAATCATCACAAGCGGACACAGCCGATGAGGGACTGGTCAGCCCAGTGCAGCTGAAGAAATCAAAGAGCGACAAGCAGAAGCTGCCAGACAGTGATATCGAACTGCTCGACGAGATCAATCCCAATGTCAAGCCGCACAAGCGCACAAAGCTCGACTCGATGGTGCTCTCCGAGTCAGAGCTGAGCTGCAGCATGTGCAGCAAGGTGGTTGGCTCACGCAAGCGTCTCGATTCGCATATGCTCAAGAAGCATACCACAAAACTGACATGCCCCAATTGCAAGGTTACCTATAACGACAGCTTGGAATACGTTAAGCACTTCTCGGTCTGCAACGGAGTTGACGGTCTGCCGTGCGGCTACAAAAACTGCGAAAAGGTCTTCGCAGCGGCCAATTTCCTCTGCTCCCACTTGAATAAGAAACACAAACTCGCGAAGTAATGTAAGTTTGACAGAGGGATTAGATAAATTAATTAAAAGATATAACTAGGAAATGCTTAAGTAGAGAGTATTTCAAGAAAAAAAAAGAATAGCATAAGAAATATGCAGAAAATATTTTATTAACAAAAGTGTAACGCATTGAAGGATGCTAGTTCGTATCCATAAGAACTTAAAAAGGTCTGTATGTTTAAGTATATATGATCTATCTAATACATACATATCATAGTCATGTCTGTTTGTTATGCTAAGTAAGATCTTTCAGCTTGAAAGCTTTCTCGACTTAGCAACAATCGGTCCATTATTCAACTATTGAAAAACTTTTCCTTTTTTAAAGATTTTAGGGACATGCCACACTAACTCTCCATTTAAAACTTGAAAGCTCTCGTTAAGAATATTATATCTTACAAGGATTTTAAAATGTTGTTATACAAATTTCTAAATTGCATTTTCCTTACTTTTTCAGATTTTTACACAGCAATTCAGGCCTTGAAGGATGCCAAAATGACTGAATTTTTAATGTTTTAATTTTTTTTAACTATTTGTAAACAGTACAAAACTTTAATAATCCAACAAACTAAAACGGAAATGGAACCCAATTCCATTAGGAAAATATAAATATAGTTTTCAATTATATATAATGTTTTTGATTTTGTATATATATTGTTTGACTTCCATATAAACATAAACAATGTAAATTACAAAGAAAACCAACGACAATTTGAGAGCAGTTCCTAAAGAGAGAGCACGTTTTTTTGTATATATTTATATATAATATATAAATATATCCTACATGCGTTAAAATAAGATTTAGAGTAAGAGTAGCCTTAAGACTAACCCAACAAATTATTTACGCAGAGCCCGCGCGTAACGAAACAAAAATAATGAAAACAATTTTCTAGTTCAACTTTTCTACTTAATGTGTACTCTTGAATGGATAATGGTGATGATAAAGATGGATAAAGGAGTGCACACTCCTGCACTGTGCTGCCTCAGGTGCCCACTTTGCTGTGAATCTCCGCTTGGGCCACCTTCATCACGTCGAGCGCCCCCTTTTTGATCAGCTGCTCGGCCAGGGTTTGTCCCAAGCGGTTTGCCTTTACGTATATGTCCCTGCTGTGACAGGCGTGCTGATAGAGACCGCAGAATAGATTGTCCACATCCTCGATGAGCACAGGCAACTTGAGCTGCTGCGGTTGCGGATGGTCCTCATCGGCATAGTCGAACATTTGCACCGTCTTCTGCAGGAAGGGGCATTTCGCGTGGCCCGTGATTTCTTGGCTGACCTCGAGGCCACTGCCTTGGTGCATGGCTGCAAATGGGCACTTGGAAGACGCTGCTGTCGTGGCCGCATTGTCCGGCTCATCGCCATTGCTGCGCATTGTTGTGGGAAGTGCGGCCATGTTAGTGACCGGACACTTGCCCGCAATGGCGTACGAAATCTTCGTCTCATTATTGACAAACGGACACTCGCCCATAACGTCCTGGCCGACCTTCAACGGCAGCGGGCAGTGAGCAATTGTGTTGGAATTGCCGGTGTCCGCATCGCCGCCGCCGCCTCCACCAGCGTCACCGCCAGCGCCTAATGCATTGTTATTATCGTGGCCAACAACGGGACACTTGCGAGCCAAATCGATGTGCCGCTCGATCAGGTCCTCCATGATGTAGCCTGTGACCGAGGCGTCTTCGCATATGACCGGCGGACTACCCTGTTGGCGCGGACTATTAGAGCTGGAATCGGAGCCCGAGCCGGAACCTGAGCCAGTGCCATTCGCAGGCAAGCTGTTGCCATTCCTCGCACGCTTCGTGGCAGGCGGTGAGTCACAGCTGTTGCTGTTGTTGCCATTGGACATTTCCAGCTGCTGCTGCTGCTGCTGTTGCTCATTTGCAGCACGCTTGCGCCGCTGCACCTCCGTTTCAGATTCATTCAAGGCACAGTCCAGGTGCTCGCGTATTTCAATGGCACCATCCAGACTCCAGACAGCGCCAGTTAGCGATAAGCCCACTTCCTCCGGCTGTTGCTGCTGCTGCCTGTTGTTGGCGTTGATACTGCTTGGCTCGCCTTTCAGATTGCTCCAGACAGCAACTGGGGCAGAGCAGCCGCCGCCCAGCGTCTTGAGGAAGCTGCGCTCCGCCAATATGCGGCACGTGGTGTTCAGGCACATGAGCTTCTGCAGCATGGTCAGCACCTGAGCATCGTTGGCACGACACTCCACGGCCAGAGCGCCCTGTCCAACGGCATAGAGCAGATCCGTGGGCTCCAGCACCTGACTGATGCGGCTCATCCAGCCCATGCGCACGAGGCCCGCCTGCGCCAGTATAATGCCCGCAAACTTGGACTCCTTGGCATCCAGCTTGGCCAGACGTGTATTCAAATTGCCTCGAATGTCGCACACAATCAGATGTGGGTACTTGCGACGAGTCTGCGCTGTGCGCCGCAGCGAGGAGGTGCCTGTTGGGAAGGTAGACAATTAGTTGATAGCTTGGAGCTGCACACAAGTTAACAAACTTACCAATGACACTGCCCTTGGGCAGCGAGGCAATCGTGTGCCCCTTTAGATTCTCGCGCAGCACCAACGCGTCGCGGGCATCCTCACGCTCCAGCACCGCGCCCACAGCCATACCCGTTGGCAGCGCTGTGGGCAGATCCTTGAGCGAGTGCACAACGAAATCGACGCCGCCATTGCGCAGCGCATCCTCCAGATCTCGGGTGAAAAGGCTCTTCTCGCCAATCTTGGGCAGTGAAACGTTCAGCACACGATCCCCAAAGGTGGACATGGTATCTAGAACATCAACAAGAAATCCAAATGAGTAACTTCATGTAACTATGTATGAAGATCTATTCTCCAGTTGCCCAATCCAATTGATATCGTTTCTTACATCATCAGAGATAAAAGCGCAACTCTGCAATCAAGCGAAACACGCAAGCGACTTGGGTTCCCGATGATGAGGTTCCCCTCCCGTCTCATGCGGCACACAACACGATAGCGAACTTTTTGCTTTTTTTAATATATTTTTTATCAGCACGCAATGGAGCAACTACTGGAGCTTATCAGACTCTTAATTTGCCTACCACTATTTAAATATACTGCTACAATTGGATATATATGTATATGCATCGGACTTTGTGTATGTATCTAAACGGGATGTTGCGTGTGGCGCGAGGCACTAAACTGCTCGCCGAATGCGGCTTCCATTGATTAACAATTATACTTAATAGCTTGTGAGGGAGATAAAACTTCCAAGCTGTTCAGCATTGGCAGAAGCAATTATGCTGGTAGAAATTCTTTACCTTAAGGCACATGTACGTTTTTAATATAAAGAAAAACCAAGAAAAATCGAATGTTCGAATAGTTATATAATGAAGAATACTAAACAATAAAAGTATCATTCATCTGTATCTATTATTACTTGAGCTGCGAGGAAATATCTGGACGAAGAGTTTGTGTCCACAGTTCAGATCGGAGCTTCTTCAGCAAGTAGACAAATCCCCTTTTATAAGCGAGTTATAGCCCGTAATGCCCCCCTTTCTTTTGTAAGACTCCCCCCTTGATTATAATCTATACCTATATAAGCAAAAGTCTCAGAATAGCGCTCGGGTTTCCTAATGCTATTTAATTATATTTTATTTGGAAAATTGATATTTGAAATAAATAAATATGTCGTATATCATATATTCTTTAGTTTCTTTCTAGACAATTCATTATATTGCACGTTTCGTGACATATTTATCATACTAAAGATATTGTTTCTGAACTTTAAAAGCGTTAAACGATTTATTATTCTTTTCTCTTTATAGCTGTATTTAACTCTTGGCCAATTTGCGGAAGAAAACGTGACAGAAAGTGACGTAACGACAACAAAAATCCAATCTTATAATATTGTAAATATGGAATAGCTCTCAAAAGCTAAAAATAATATCAAGTTTTGCATATTTTCTTTGATTATAAAAGAAACGATTGTGTGAACCTTAACCAAGAAGTAATCATAAATATTTAAACAGAAACAAACTTTATCATTTGTTATCAATGGCAGATAACGAAAAATAAATTTCAATAGATGAACATATTATGTCAGCAGCACGTTGGTCAAGTTTCTATAATAAAGATAAGTGGCTAAAAAGTGTGATTTTAATCTAAAAGAAGAACCGTTAAAGTTATTCGTAAAACGCGAAATAAAAGCCACAAAAGTGAGAGACATTGACATTGAGCTAATTTTGGCAAAAGGCACGCAAAAGAGCAGCAATAAAATAAATAAATAAAAATTTAAAAAATGAGACGCGCCTCTGTATACAAGTAATAACAATATGTAATCTTGTTAAATTTAACGCAAGTAACGCTTGCAGAATTGATAAGACAATCATAGCTAGGCTAAACTTGGGCCTGATAGTGCTGAGTCACGGTGAAGCCTAGGAAAATGTTAATTGTAAGCATGCGCGCAGGAATATTTCAATATTGTGTTAACAATTATATGGAAAATGAGAAAACTTTCACTTACGTATCTCGAACTTCTGCTTGGGATAAAGTTTCTGCAGTCGTCCGATGACATGTTTGGTCTGAATGAGCGCCAGCTGCATGGGAAGAGAGAAGAGAACGGAAAGAGGAATAAGTAAATGCTTTCAAATGCATATGCAAATGCTAAATGTAAATGAACTGTAAATGGTGAAAAGGAGTGAGAGAGTAATTGAGAGAGAGAGTGTGAGAGTGATTAATGGTAGCTTCCAATTGGATTTGCAGTCACAGCTGCTGCTGCTGCTGTTGTTGTTGTTGCCATTTTATATTTTAATTAGCAAAGCAATTTCAGATATGCGAGTATTAAAGCAATTGCGGCCTTGATAAAGCCGGACCAAACCAAGACAAGCTGAGTTGAGCCAATCCGCGCCAAGCACGACTCAAGTTGCCCACAAAATATGGTCAAAAAGTAATAAAAATATAAAAACTCACGAATCAAGCGGTGGGCGGGGGGTGAAATGCGGTGCACACTGACAGATAAATATTGTGAATGCGAGACTAACAGCAGCAGTGCGTGAGAGCCGCATGAATCTAAGCTGCGTATTGTATAACACTAACCAAAATAAAAAAAACACGGTCAGCAACAACAAGCAGCAGCGGTATTTTTTAGGCGAGCAACAAGTCTTGGTCTTGCATAAATGTGTGAGGCGAGACGAAACGGAAGAGAGACAGAGAGGGAAATGTAGAGGGAGCAAGCACTAGGCGGATGGACGTAAATACATGATTGAAATTCAAATGAAAGTTGAGTAAATCGAATGCACATATTCAAGCACTTGCGTACATATGTACATATGCAGATAGCTTACCTCGCTTTTGCGTGAACCAACACGAATAACCTTTTCCTTTTCCTGCGTAGACATCGTAAGTCTCTTTTATTATTGCACAATTATTCCTAGTGGGCGTAAGGTACTATAGTGAAAGTGTGTTTGGCGAGGACAAGCAGCAGCAGCTTTTTGGGGTCACGACTTTTGCACAGAAGCAGCAATGAACGATGAATGAAAACTTCAATTCACTGAGTATTAAACACACATTCTCGTATTATTGTCACGTAGACTTTGTACTAGACGGTTAGAAATTCAACCAAAAAAAACTTATTTATATTTAATGCTGGGCGATACTACGTCCGAGCAGAGCGCAATGCAGCAAGTGATTGGCAAACTGATTCGCCATGCGACAGGGGCCTTGATGGTATCGATTATTCGATATCTGTTGGGTAACATTCGCGCTAGAGGTGAAACTGCTAGTCGATTATAAAATACCGAGCTTATTCATATGCACATATCGATAAGTGCAGCAACGAGTGCCACTATTCGATACATCCCCAACAGCTGATGGCAAACAATTGAAAATATAGCGCTGTTGACATGTTTTTGGTAAGCGATCAACAATTTTATAGAAAAACTGTTTAATAAATTTTCAAATTATCGGTTTCAGTTCATAAGCCGTCCCATGGGGACGCTGGGCAATCGCATGCGAGTGGTGCGCGACCGCTTGGGCGATGATTTTCTGGACAAGCTCGATGAATTACATCTGAATGCACTACGTACTGGTTTGGTGTCCACATCGGATCTGCATGAAGCTTATCGAAAGGCGCGCGACATGAATGCCAATCAAAACCGGTTGAATTTCTTGTGGCTGCTGGGCATCGTATTCTTCATAATGGTGGCGACTCCTGTTTTCTACGAGACCATCTCGTTTCTGTTGGGCGTGCGCTGCTTCCTGCCCAACAACCACCTGGTCTGGGAGGCAACGCGCCCAATCAGCGACTGTGAGTTCTGTAAAGGCGTTGTGGCGCCTCTAATTTTACCAAATCTGACGCGCGAAGACTTTGCCCGATATGCGTACTCCTCGCGGCCAATCATTGTGAAAAAGGCTGTTGCGCATTGGGCAGCAGAGCGAAGTCTTAACTATACATACATCAAGGAACTTTATGAAGGCGTGCCCGATGCTTTGGAGACCGTATGCCAGTTTCAGCACTTTAATTCGGACCTCAAATCCTTGCGTGACGTTTTCAATATGTCTCCGAAACGCGCAAATCTGAGCGAGGGTGCGCCATGGTTTGTGGGCTGGAGCGTTTGTCATCCGACAGTACTAACGGAGCTACGCAAGTTGTATCCACGGCCACATTTTCTGCCCGTCGATGCAGAAATGCCGAACACAGACTATATTCTGATGGGTTACGAGCAGGGTGCCGTCATGCACGTAATATATACTGAGCTCATGCAATGAACAAGCTCTGTAAGTTTCTATCTTTTCTCACAGCTGGACTATATTCCGCGACTAATGTGGCAGGCGCAGCTGCAGGGAAACAAAAGCTGGTTTCTGTCGCCCGCGCCGGAATGCGATCATCAATGTCAGTCGTTCTTCTTTTACGTTGAACCAGGCGATGCAGTTCTGGTGGACACACGCACCTGGTATCATGCCAATACCATACCGAGGGGTCAATTCTCGCTCACCGTGCAATCTGAATACGGATAAGTTAAAACACCTCATACAAAAGTCTGATACTAGAATTAAGCGGTCAGTCAATAAATGTAAATTATTTATCGAAGAAAAATATGGCTGTCAGTGGCATTATTATTAAGAAATATTTATATCATAGAACCATTTCAAAAATCGCGGCCTAAACAGAGACAATTGGTTCGATATACAATGTTACTCGATTAATCGAATGCAATCGATTAGTATGTCTACCAATGCTTTGACGCGCGCGTATATTGCTTACATTTTTGGACTTGGACACAAGCGAGTATTCACAACAAACAAAAATGAATGCAAATTTTGATTATAGTGCGTTTTCTGCGAAATGCAATGAATACTTCGATCAGCATCCAATCAACTTAAGAGAGTTGTGTGTCACTAAATCTGTTATAAAGACAAACGATTTCTTCAAAAGTCTCGAGGAAAATATCGAAGCCGAGACGACGCCGACTTCGCCTGGCAAAGTGCTTGGCACAGTCGAAGAATATGCAGAACTGTTTAAAGTATTTGACACTTACCCAAGCAATCTGCAGCGTCAGCCGAAAAAACGCGAACTGCAACGTGCAAACTCCGTAATCATCAAGGGAAATGATGCTATGCAGGATCAAACTGCTATCAACACCTCAAGCGCCTCTTTGGCGCTCAGCATTAGCCGCTTAGAGCAGGAGTCGAGCGCAGCGCAAGTATACAAGGACTATAAGAATTTTCAGCAGAAGCTGCGGCAGGTTTTTAATGAGGCTTCTGCTCTGGAAAGCGAACAATCAGTCTACTTGGACAAGATCGCACAGCTGGAAATGTTTGCTCAGCAGCTGGAAAATCTTATGCCCTGCAAGCGTGAGGCGCCTGATGCGTTCTCGGCCGAAGAGACGAGCAAGCTGAATGCCATTGCTGAAAACATGAAGCAATTAAACTATCTACGCTCGCACAGCCTCTCACCTGTGCTCAATCCCATGGACACGGCCGTTGCACGCCTGGAGACTCTGGTGGAAGTGCTCAACTACACTCTTATTCAAATAAGCTGCTTCAGTACTACTTAAATGTGTTTATTAAGTTTTGTATATTAAATGAATTTATGTGCTCTCGCAATGTGAGTCCTCCTTCTCATCATTGTTGAGCAGCTCATGCTGCTCCTGCACATGCAGCTTCAGCTGAGCAATCGCATCGTGAAGTGCCACCAGCTTGCGGGCACTGCTTCTTAAGTTCTCCACGCGCTGGCGAGTAGCCAAGCAGCAATCGAGGGCGGTTTGAGCACCGGCGTTGTTATCTTCACACTTCACACTTTGTTGCATGAGCTGCTGGAACTGCTCCAATATCCTTGTGAGCGACAGTTCACACTCTGGACTCAAATGATAAAGATTTTCGGGTTGAACGCTCCCTTTCAATGTGGGCATCGTTGAAGCCTGCGCTTCGATATGCAATAGCGTGCTGTTGGACTTCTCCATGATTTCACCGATTTTGTCTGCCTGATTGCGCATGGTCTGCCGTGTTGAAGCTGCAGTTGGAGTTAGAGTGGACAATGAGCTAAGCTTATTGCAATTTTACTTTATATTTACCGAGACCCGCCAATACATCATCAATTATTTCCGACATTTTGAATCTGTTTTGATGTCTGATTGGGGACAGCTGTCTCAAGTTATCGTTATCGCTCGATAAATGCACACCTTGAAAGCGATCGAATGTTACTTTATCGATTTAAACTTGGCTTAACGTTGGTTTTTATTCAATTTTAATATATTGTTCAAATTAAATTTGATGCCTTTCATTTAAAATTAGTGTAATCTTTTAATGGATTCGCGTTACATTTAATCATATACGTCCTCCTTGTCGGCCACGTATTTAATGATGTCGGCAGGTTTCAAAAGCTTCTCTGCGTCCGAGTCTGGAATCTCAAAGCCAAACTCATCCTCCATGGCCATGATGACCTCAACGTGGTCCAGTGAGTCCAGTCCAAGATCATTAATGAAGTGCGAGTTCACGTTGAGCTGAAAGGAAAACACAGTTAGAAAGCAAAAGACATAACTAAAAACTATGGCAGCTTTGTTCGTTTCTTTGGACGGCACAATAAATTCATTTAACTGGCAAAGGCAATTGTGGCATTCAATCAAATAAGCCTAGGCCATGAGCTTGGTCTTTACCTTGCTGGGATCGATCTTATCGTACAGCTTCAACACAAGCAAGACGCGCTCGTTGATAAGCTTCAGTGACAATGGCGGTTTCGCCGAGTAACTGCGCACCGATTGCGTTTGCCAGCGACATCTGCTGTCCTGCAATGTGCGCCCCAAAAAGAAAAGAACAAAAGAAACCAAGTTAGTGGATTCTTGAAAACATCTGTTTACCTTGTCGGCAGTCACTTTGTCGTAGGCCGAAACGACTTTTAACACACGATGTTCAATTTCTTCTATGGTATTCCTGGCCGAGTAGTTGCGCATTGTGAACTTCTGTAAGAATGTGAGAATCGATATTGATGAACTGGTCCCAATCTTTAAGCATTGCCCAATCATTGCTGGCGACTATCTCCACAAGTGTTAAACCGAGATTTCATCATAACAATCATGTTTTAGTGGAAAAAATATGATGCAATACATATATATTGATAGACGACCTCTCTTTTCGACCAACTCCAAGTGCAGTAAAGTTTAATAGGCACACGCACCCTAAATAACTCTTCGGGAGACAGTATCTCCCCCGTAGAGTTTTTCACAATGAGGTTAGGGCGCAATAAATAACTACTTTTATAGACCGACACCTTGTACAAACCAATAAAGAAAATCACTGGGCGCTTACTTGGGTGAGTTGGGTGCCCATGGCAGGCACGGCAATCCGGTGCAACATCCTAGATTGTGTCTGAACAACGGCACTGGCGATGCGAACTGTGCTCAGTGCAGCCGCAAATCGGCCGCAGCTACGTGCGACTTGTGTGAACGACATCTCTTGGTTAATCTGGAACACAAATAAAATATAATAAACTCGGATTGCAACTATGCACTTTGCACACGTTTTAAACAATATTTACACCGAATTTCTAGCAAAACGGGGGCTCAGATTATGTAAAAGTTCTGGAGGAGCAAAGGCAGCACAGATGTTGAATAAGTATCGATACCAACCGAACCTCTGCTCATCGATGTATTTGTGTAGCCGGTTTGCTCTGAATGCTTAACATGGAAGAGTTGCCTATCAATAGAAGTTGCATTTCGCCATGCAGCCTAATAAAGAAACATTTACTTATGCCTCTGTCCAGAACGACATCGACATTATTTACACTTATTTTGTTACCAAAATGCTATAATTTTTTTTTGATTTGTTGCAGAGTCATCGTAATCGATTGGCCGGCGGACAGTGTTGAAAAATACACGATACATTTTGAATTTGTTGTACACAAATATTGTTCGATGTTGCCACTTGTTAAATAAAATGCTTATGTCAAATGCTGGCGAACGAGCTGACTGCATGTTAAAGTAGTTGTCAGCTAATATTATGTGCACGAAATAACGGCCATTAAGGTGTTTATCGTTGATGCAACTTAATCAATCAATATTTGTATTGAAATAGGAACATAGATAAGATAGTATTGCCACGCCTGTAGTTACGTAATCATGCAACACAAGCATAGCAGCGCAATTAGACGTACTGAATTAAAAGCGCTCATATATATTTATGATTTATATAAACAATTAGTATATAATTAATTGGAACATAAGTACATAGAATCGAAATTACACGCCTCATTGCAATAACAAAATACAAAAATACAGTATATAAATTACAGGAATAGTATAACAAAACAGTTGTCGTTTGATTTAAAGCCATTTGGTAGTAAATTGTATTAAATTCCTTATTGACCAGCAATCTGAAAGGGATAAAGAAAGTTATTTAAATCTTAAAGATATGATAATTAATTATTTTTACTCACAACAACAAGATGGCCGCTCTTATCACGCACAACGCCGGGCTCGGCGCCTGTTTGAAGTTCTATGACACCGCCCTTACCCTTGACCACATTGTGTTCCAGACTAAAACGATAAAGATTAGAAAATAAATAGAAAAAACCCAACTCAAGTTTCAACAGCCACTCACGAAGCTCTGTCCACAATGGAGACTATATCGGCGGTGCCCACGGTGTCAATAATGTAGGTGCTAAACTCGATTAGGTGCGGAATGATCAGAATCAGATCGCCTTTGTCCTTTTTGAGCTCGAGCGGTATCCGGATCACCATCAGGTCGTCGTTGTGGTTCGTCAGGGTGAAGTCAATCTTCTCGAGTGGCAGGCGATGCTTCTGCTTGTAGCTCTTACCATCCAGCACATAGACGGCCTTGTTGCTCAGCAGAATGAAGCGCTCCCGTGACTTGTAGCCATGTCGATCGAACTTGGTGCAGGCCGATTGATATTTGAGTTGCTCGCTGCCGAAATTGCTGGCCACAAAGTCGTTGACGCGCTGTATATGCTCCTGGGGAATGCGGTCGGTCTGGAACCAGGCTGGCACACTGTTCGCATAGTTGTTCTTCTTGTTCTTGAACACCTTCTCGGCGAGCACCTTCAGCTCGAACTGGCGCTTCCGCTCCGGCGTCAGTTGATGGCGATAGATGCGCGCCAGGTGCAAGCGGTGCAGGCGATGCAGATAAATGGACGCCTCCTGGCAGTGGCCCGGCGCTGGTGGCCAGCTTTTGTCGAGCACCTTTTTCGGCAGCTCCTTGGCCAGTCGCAGCAGCCACATGCGCTTGGCATTGGCAATGAAGTCATCATTGAAGCCATTCGGCGCATCGTTGCGCGTGATGAAGCCCTTGATGAAGGCGCGAATCTTGTCCGCCGCCTCGCGACGCTGCTTGGCCGCCTGCTGGGCCAGACGCCGGCGACAGTAGCTCTGCAGGATAATGACCTGGGCGCGCAGCTTGAGGTACTTGCGACGCTGCACCAGACCCTTCCAGTGTGCCTGAATGATGGCGGCAATATCGTGCTTTTTCGCCTGGTAGGCATCCTCCGTGTCGAAGAGCGTGCGTGGCCAGCGTATGAAAAGCTTGGTCTCGCCCAGCTTGAACTGTTCGCCGTTGTAGCCCAAATCCTTGACCAGCAGCTGTACGCCAGCCTTTGCGCCGCCGGCACCCTTGTAGTTGGGCCAGGTGGACTTGCTCAGGCACTTGTAGCGTTCCAGGAAGAGCTCATAGCTGCGCCTATAGGCAAAGCCGGCACGACGCACGCGTAGATTCTCCATGAGGCCCAGATATTTGACCTGATGCAGGACCAGTTGATCGTCAAAGATGCCCGGCGATTGCAGATCGTTGGGCTTGATGCAGCGTATGTAGCTGGGCTCCTTGCACATCAGTATGTCCATGAGGTTGTTCAGCGAGGTCTTGAACTGCGATATGGCCGTCTCGGGTCGCTTCTTGCTGCGCAGCTCCTGCTCCGGGAAGCACGAGCGCACAATGTTGTTGCCCGCCTTGCTCAGCGTCTCCTTGAGATCGCGGAAGAGCAAATCGTTGTTCTTGTCCAGGAATCCATTGACAGTGTAGGTCACCTCGCCGGCATAATGGACCAAGCGGAACTCATCGCGTCCCATAACCTTTTGCACCTGAATCGGCGCCTTCTCGTGGCACACATAATGATGATGATCGGCCAGCTTCTGTGTGAGTTTCTCGAGGAAGGTGCGATCTGTGGGCTCGCCGGGCCGCAGGCACTCCTCATCCAGTATGGAAATAATGCCCTTATGCTTCTCCTCAATCAAATTGCAAATGACCTTGTTGTCGAAATACTCCACCGGAATCCACTCGATGCCCTCGCGCCTGTATTCATCCTGCTCAGACTTAAGCGTCAGTTCAATGAACAGTTGCTGAAGTTTCTCATTGCAGAAGTTGATGCAGAACTGCTCGAAGTTATTCCTCTTGAAGATCTCAAAGCCATAGATATCCAAAATGCCCATCACATTGTTGCGGGCGCCGCGCGTCTCCTTCGCCTGCAGCGAAATGTTCAGGCGCTGCACCAGCCACGAGAACAGACGATCGTATACGGCCTTGGCCAGCGCATCTCTGGCGTAGATGGCCAGCTCGTGGTTCAGCGGCGATGTGACCACATCGCCTCGTGCATCAATGGTGCGATGGG